TGCAGATGGTTGATGGGAATTAAACCCAGGATGGCTGGAAAAGCAATCATTGCTGTTAACCACTGAGTCATCTCTCCAGCCCCTGGATATTATATTTTTGAAGCAGGAGACTTGGAGCCTGGTTCCCTATCAGTGGCCATGCGTGCTCCCTAAGCAGAAGACTATTAAGGCTATTTTGAGGAAATAGACCCCAAGGACATCCCTTCCCCTAGTGAAGTTCTGCTTTAACTGAATAGCAAACTCCCTCAGCAGCTTTAAAAGCAGCCAGTCCTAGGGATGGCTCAGCAATTAAGAATGCAGGCGGTGGCGGCACACACCTTTAATCCCAGCACCTGGGAGGCAGAGGCAGGTGGATCTCTGTGAGTTCGAGGTTAGCCTGGTCTACAAAGTGAATTCCAGTTCAGCCATGACTACACAGAGAACCCCTGTATCACTCCCTATCCCCCACCAAAAGAGAGCATGCCCAAGGCTCTGTAAGCAGACCTCTTCAGACAGTTCACAACTGCCTGTAATTCCAGCTCATGGAATCCAATGCCTTGTTTGGCCTTCTTTCAGGCATCCCAGTGCACATACAGAGAGACACGTGACCACATCTGGAAACGAAAAACAAGCAAGCCATCAAGACAACAACAACAACAACAATAAAAATCTTGACTGATCCTGAGCTAGGCAGTCAAGCGCAAGCTCAGGCAGCTTTATTTTCTAAAGTTTCATCTGCCGTTGTTTTTCTAAAGAGATGCCCTGGAGTAGCCAGAACAGAAATCCCCACTGTGTGCTTCAGCATCCACGGGAGGCAAGAGCATTGCTAATGGTCAGTCTCTGCTTCCGACGAGCAGGTGGATGGATGCTTTCCAGCGGGAACTCTGAGGTCACTGTCATCATTCAACCCTACAGATGGGAAACCAAGTGTCGGAAAGGCTAAGGGGCTCGCCTAAGCCTGCAGAGGTCAATGAGAAGAAGCTCTGGGTTCTGGCCCTCTGACTGAGTGTCCAGCTCCGGGCTTACCCAAAGCTGTTGTGCGCATTTCCCTTTCTTCCTCAAGACACTTTAAGTTGCGCTTTCAAACACTTGAAGTAGAAAGAGTTAAAGTGTCATTGAAATACCACTTTCTAAAGTGAAGACCCTTAGGTCCTCAGGGTGAGGACCAACTTCGCGAGCTAGCCTCTCCATCCTGTTTTCAGAGCTCTCTGAGTTTCTGCCTCTCTGCACAGTAGATATTCCGACAATGTGCAGTCTTTGCTTAACCCGACACTTAGCATTCTATACTAGTAGCCTAGTATTCCTTGGAGAAAAATCACACGTAAAGAAACAACCTCCATTTTGCAGGATGGAGCATGAAGGACTGGGTAAACAACGGGGTTTCACCCAGGTCAGACACCAGGGCAAACCTGAACTTGGCAGGCAGGTCTTCCGGCAGTCCCTTCTCAAGTCTTTCTATTTTCTTTTCTCTGAGTGTCTACAGCCCTGATGCTCTGACCGCCTGTCATGTAACTTAGCTCTTTGATGAAAAAGATATCATCTACCCTATGAACACCTGGGGACAGAGAGGGAGCAGGGACCGGAGAGGGAAAGAGGGGGGAGGAGAGAGAGAGAGAGAGAAGAGAGGGAGGGAAGGAGGGAGGGAGAGGGAGAAAGAGACAGACAGACAGACACACACACACACACACACACACACAGAGACAGAGACAGAGAGACAGAGAGAGAGAGAGCAAGCAAGAGGAGAGGGAGGGAAGGAGGAGGGGAAAGGGAGAGGGAGAAAGAAACAGAGAGGGGAATCAGGCTCTTAAGTAGCCCAGGATAACCTTAGACTTCTGCTCCTCCTGCCTTCACCTTCAGATGTGTGACACTGCACTTAGTTTGTGTGCACGTGCCTGCACAAGTATTGAACCTAGAGATTCTGCTGCCTGAGCCCCAGCCCCAGCCCCAGCTCCTGGAGGGCGCGTGATGCTTTATGCACCAAGCATTTACAAGCTTGCCTCCTGCGTGGAGTAACTGGGCCTGGTACCCCATCACCTGGCACAGCATCCCTTGGCAAGACTTAAATTTTAAATTTTAAGACTTTTTTAAATTGGCAAGATCTTAAATTTTGGGAAATTCTACCTGAGCTGTTGGTGGCTCTGGTATGGCAGAGGTTGCTTCCCTACACCCACATGGTGCAGAAGAGGGGGCATCAGGGCAGGTAGTCATCTTTGCTCTGTGAAGGCCTCCAGGACTCTGTGCCCAACCCTGCTCTCCTCTGGGTTAGCACTGGCTCACCAGCACCTCACTGAAGGTGAAAAGGAAGGGGAGGAGGAGGCCTGCTCTGTAACCCGATCAGATGAGCACACACTCCCTTTGCTCCAGTGTCCTGAGTGAGGTCTGAGTCCCAAGGTCATCTTGAAAGTGGTCCTGGGATCAGACTCCAAATGCTCAGCTGTGTGTGATATGATGTGAACTCGGGCCTGAAGGATGGAGAGGAGTGGTTTGACCTCCGAAGACTTGTGTGTCTGAAACTGCACCCGCCCTGAGAGAGTGCTCAGAGCACACCCACAGTGAGACTGCGGCAGAGTGTCCAGGCCCTTGTTTATAACAGTAGGGACTGGCAACAACCTGACCTGTTTTACATGCAGGACGTGGGTGAGTCCAGCCTCCTGGAATAGTTGAATGTAACTGTGATATTCATTTCATCTTTCAATTCACCCCCAAAGGACGCCAAAGGCAGTCAGACAAGATTTTACTGAAGTCCCACTGGCTGAAACCAATACGTTTGCTGGTGTGTGTTGGGGGGTGTTTACAGAATATGAGTGAAGAGTGTCTGGCAAAAGTGTGGGTGACTCCCAAATGGCTGCATCACCACAGAGATGTACCCCACCATGGGAGGGGGGTGACCTCCTGAAGTTACATCACAAGGACTTTCTTGAGACCAACCTTTCCTCTGAATGTAGTCTAGATTCTCTTAAGATCCCTTGCAGCTGGGGTCAGCAAGGGGAGGAGGGCTTTAAGACTTTTAAAACATCTGTTAGGGAGTGTTAATAGCCCCACTAATGTTATCTTTACCACAGACCTCGCTACCACTGCATGCCTGAGTTCTGGTTGCCATGGCTACGGGCAAAATCCAAGATGGCGCCATGTTATGCCCTGAGGAGGAGACAGCACCATAGAACAGCCTCTTAAAAAGAAACATTCAGGACTGACTGACCCACATGTCACAGGGCACGGCTCAAGGGCCCCAGAAATGAATTCTTTTGTTGGACAAATATGGGTCTAAGGTACACTTTTACGTTTATGTACTTTAAAACCATTTTTCTTACATTTATTTATTGAGGTGGGTGAGTGTGTAGTGAAGAAGTGAAGGCTTTCAGTCCTTGGTTCTCTCCTTCGACCACGTGGGGTCCAATGCTTGTCAAGTTTTGGGCGAGTGCTTTTGCCTGTAGATCCCTCTGGATAGCCCCTATGTGCTTTTTCTTTTCGCTGCTGGGTTGCTGGATGTAGTCTTACTGTCCTGGAGCTCAATATGTAGACCAGGCTGGCCTCAAACTCACAGAGATCTTTCTGCCTCTGCCTCTGCCTCCTGAGTGCTGGGACTAAAGGCCTCCTGGCTGTATGTCGTTGGTTTTTTTTTTTAATTTTGTTTTGTTTATGTGCTTTTTGGATGAAGAAAGGGGCCCATGAAGTGCATAAGAACCATGGAATTTTTTTACACAGCCCTTAAAAAGTGCGTTGGATATGAAACATGTAAACTAGATAAAATAAAGTCAAACCCCCAAACTCCAAGACACAAAAGTAGGGGCCCTGAGATTCTCCAAACAAGCAAAACTAATCAGATTGGAAAGCTCTGGGCCTCCAGTGGAGAGGGGTCACCAAAGCCGAAGAACAAAGACTCATCCTGAGGTTCTAGGTCTTGTGTTGGGCTTTGCACCTAGCGACAGTATGCAATGTTCTCGAACCATGACCTGAACCTTAGCTTATGTTAAACCTAAAGCTGCTGTTAAAACCTAAAACTTTACATCACAGTTTAGAAAAAGAAAGGAGAGAATGGTCTTGGTACAGTTAATAATTATCTCCACAAGGGACTGAATACACGAGACCCCAAGACCATGTAACCTGAAAAGATCTGAGGGTGTCCTGTAGGATGGTCTCCAGGAAGGCAATGGGAGAGCCTCTGACAGCCTGGCACTGTGACAGCTTAGTGAGGATGCGCTCCTTGTTGCCGGCTTTAAGCTGTAAGCAGCGGCAGGGAGTCCATCTGACCGGAGTGAGTGGGGGACGGAATTTACTGCGGAATAACAGGAAGTCCTCTGAACAAGCTCTGCCCACAGTTAAGGCAGGGGCTCACAGGACGCCTTCGGTCATCCTACACACTCCCTTGCCTAGCTGGTTCCACCCCTGGCTTTTGTTGCATCTTTGTATTGTTCCCCCCAATACAGGAAAAACCTGTGTGGGTGCAGTTGATTGGCTAAGCCTAGGTCAGGTCTCACATCTAATCAGAAGATTGGGGCAGGGCACATTTCGTTTGACTTCTAGATTGAGGGAGCTGTGACCCTTGGTTTTACCTGCTTGTGCCTCCACATCCTATTTACCCAGTGCTGGGCCTGGAACCCAGGGCTCCAAGCGCGTTAGGCAAGCACTCTACTAACTGAGCTACACGCTTCAGTCCCCAGTGTGAGGAGGAAGGTGTTTTTTCAACATGGGGTGAGATGATGCCTTCCAATACAGGATTGAAATTACACCTTGGGGGGGACCACGGGATGCCTTTTAGCTGAAACCTGTAGGCTGTGGCCTCAGGTGGTTAGGGAGAGCATGCAGGGAGGGTTATGAAGGAAAAGGCTTGACGTGGGGTGAATGAAGCGCCGCGCCGCGTCCTGCTGCAGGGAGCAGCTCGGGGCCTGGGTGCAGCCCCCACGCCTGGGTGCAGCTCCAGTGCAGGGGCGGGTCCCGCGCTCAGCTCCGACGCTCAGTGGGGCGGGGCCGCGAGCGCTGTCACCCGGAAGACGTCGCGGCGGGTAGGCTCTGGCTTGCCTTCTTTAGGGGGATCCCGGCCGGGAGGGGAGACTGCGGGGCCGCCTGTGGAGCGATGCCTGGCCCCTGGGCTCTGGGCGCGGTGGCAGCCGCGCTGGTGGCCTCGATGCTCCTGCTGCAGCGTGGGGACGAGGGGTCCGGGGCTGGCCCCAGGTAACCCCGGGTAGGGGATGGAGCCCGGCCCTGCAGCCCTGTCCAGTCGGGCCGGGTTACCGTGGTTTAAGAGGCCCGGTGGGGTAGAGGGACACCTGGGCACATTCAGCTGGGCACATTTGAGGTTTGGCCTTCGTCCCGAGCCCCGCCGTGACTCAGCACTTCCCCTGGGCTGGGACTGTGTAGATAGACTCTCTTCTGCCCAGCAGATCAACAACCCTTGTTCCCCAGTGTACAGACTGTCTCTTAGCACTCTGACACAGTTTCTGTGGGTGCTGTTTCCCCAGCATGGCGGACAAGGAGGCCCTGCCTAAGCTTCGGGAGGACTTCAAGATGCAGAATAAATCCGTTTTTATTTTGGGTGCCAGCGGGGAAACGGGCAAAGTACTTTTAAAAGAAATCCTGGGACAGAACCTGTTTTCCAAAGTCACGCTCATTGGCCGGAGGAAGCTCACATTCGAGGAGGAAGCTTATAAAAATGTGGTGGGTATTTGAGCTGGGGCTAAAAAAAATGTAGCCGCCTTCATTTTGCTGAGGGGAAGGTGTCCGTATCCAAAGGCTGACCCTTGCAGGGTGGTGGTGAAGACGGAAAAATGATCAAAATTGGGTTCGATTGATCTAGAAGAGCCCTTCTAGCAAACCCTGGGCCGTGCCTGGCTTGTAGGCCCGCCTTTTATCCTAGATCACCCTGCAGCTGTCAGGTGTCTGGAACCTAAGCCGGAATGGGGAACGGGGTCAGAGAAAGCCTCTGTGTGTAGTTCCTAGAGCACAGTGCTTGCTCACATTACCTACCTGTGAGCTTCACAGTGTCAGAGTGGGGAAGTGTGACAAGGACAGGCGGAGCTTTCCCCGCCTGTCCCCACTTCACTTCCAGGCCCTGTGTCTGTAAATGCAATACTGCCTTCCTTGTAAGTGACACTGTCCGGGTTAAAGCACATGGGAGTGCCAGACTTCCATCTGGTCATTGTGCCTAAGCATCCCAAGTCAGAGCTGCCGCCTATGTTTTGTTCTCCAGTAAGCAAGAGTTACCTATCAGCTGTAGCAGATTAAACAGTGTAGCATTCTGCCGGAACCACAGTTCTGCCGGGACCACATCCTGCCAGGACCACAGTCCAGTCCTGTGAGTCCCACAGACGAGCGTTTGGGCTGGTGGGCACACTTGCAAATCCGTGTTCTTGATTTCTCTGATTTCCTGGTCGTTCGTCTTACAAATGTCTGGTGCATCAGAACTGGCTGGTTTAAATAGACCTCTCTGGCCTCAGGTGGGTGCTGGGTGGACTCCATAGTCTAGTTTCCTGAGCCCTGGGGAGATCCTGACAGTGAAGCCTAAGATTGCAATTTTCTCTAAGAGTAGAGTCTTGGTGGCAAGTGTCTTTACCAGACTTTATTTTGGTTTTTGTTTTGCTTGGTTTTTGTTGTTGTTGTTGTTTTTGTTTTTTCTCTCGTATAGTATATACTGTGCCAGGAAAATCCCTCTGAAGGAACTGAAGGTAGTGACAGCCCCCAAGATTTCATTTGAGCTCCTGGGTGATGGAGCACTGCAAGCTTGATGGCATGGTACAGGATGATTGGGTTTGAGACAGCGTTTCTCTAGCTAGTGTAGGCTGGCCTTGAACTCAGTTCCTCTGCCTCTGTTTCTGCCAGTGCTGGGATTACAAGCACTCTTAGTTTGCCTGGCATATACCAATTTCAGCGTAGATTGGAAAGACCACGGAGGAAACCAAGATGGGGTTAGGGATGCAGCTCAGGTGGTAGAGAGCTTGCTTTAGCACACACAAGACCCCTGGTTTAGCCTCTAGCCCTGCACAGCTTGGATATGGTGGAGCAAACCTGTCCTTTTAGCATCTCGGAGGTGGAGGCAAGAGGATCAGAAGTTCAAGGGCAGCCTCAGCTACATAGGAAGTTTGAGGCCAGCCTGGCCTGGAGAGAGACCCAGAGAAAGACAGAGATACTGAGGAGGAGCTATACAAACTGCGGAGGCTGAATCACAGGGATCAGAACAAGTCCCAGGAAGGTGCCTTTGTCTCAAATTCTTTCTGGCTGATTCTAATGAAGGTAGTTCTTGAATTGAACTGAAGGAACGATTATCACCCAGACATTACAGCTGGACAAACGGAGGCACCTGTCTGGTCAACAGTCTACCGCAGGTTTGAAGAGATGGCTCTGCAGTTAAGAGCACTAGATGCTCTTCCAGAGGACCTGGGTTAGATTTTCACCACACACATAGCGGTTTACAACCATCTGTTAGGTCCAGTTCCAGCGGACCCAAGGGGCCTCCTTCTGGACCTCTTGACTCTATACCCATGTGGTGCAGAGACATGGATGCAGGCAAGTACCGATACACATAAAATACATTTTAAGAGATTTAATTATAAAATAAAAACTTGACCGCAGTTGCATGTCTTTGAGTACTAGGCCTAAAACTTGAACCTGCATCTTTGAGATTCTACTTGACACTCTGTTCATTCACATCCTACCTGAACGGTTTCCTTCCTGGTGAAGTAGAGATTGGCCTTTTTGTTTCCCAAAGGTAAGGTACACATGACCTTGCTATCTGAAATCTGACTTACCCTACTGCAGTTGCATGTTCTGTGAACATACATATGCACGACTGATTAGATTTTTTTTTTCATTGCTGAGCATACAGCCCAGGGCCTCACATGGACCTTGCAAACACTTGGCCACTGAGTTCTACATGCAGCTCCAGGTCATTTTTTTTTTTTTTTTTTTTTTTTTTGGTGGGAAAGTGGAATTTGGCAAACTTTATGTTAAGGGTTTAGATACTTCGATAATTGTTACTTATTCTTTACATCTTGAAGAATGTTTGGTCTCTTTGTGTGAAATTCTATGCCACTGTGCTCTTCCTTGTCTAGAATCAAGAAGTGGTGGACTTTGAGAAGCTGGATGAGTACGCAGCTGCCTTTCAAGGCCACGATGTTGGCTTCTGTTGCCTGGGCACCACCAGGGGAAAAGCCGGAGCGGTGAGCAAGAAATAATTGTGTCTCTTCTCACTGGCCAGCACTATCAAGAGCCTCTTCCTTTCTTTCAAAGATTTATTTCTCTTATGTGTTTTTGTTGGGGGGGGGGTTGTGAGGGGGCAGGGGGGTTAGGGCCACAAGAGGATACAGATGCCTGCAGAGTCCAGAAGAAGGCATCAGAGTTACAGTACCTGACTTGGGTCCTGGGAACTGACTTGGGGTCCTCTGTAGACACACTTTGGAATCCTAACTGCTGAGCCATCTCTGCAGCTTCAAGGATTCCTTTCTTGCTTACTCTCTTTTTTTGGGGGTTGTACTGCAGTGCTTAAATGTAGACTGTGTTTAAGATTCCATCTGCTGCCCCATCTGTATTATGCACGGGACATTGCAGATAAGGTCATCTTCAGAATAACCTTGAGTTAGGGCCTGAATGCCGGCTACGTCCCCAGAAATTTATGTGATCGTGCCTATGGAGATGGTACAGTCATCACAACGTCCCCTGACTAAGGGAAGCAGCCCACAGTCTCTGGGCAGAAGTTGGCTCATGCCGTGGGTAGTAAACTTTATGTTTTTTTCCATGACAAATGTCTTTAGCCTTTTCTCTCACTCGTTTGCTTCCACCTGCTTTCGAGTCAGCCTTTAAACTCAGGAACTCGATTGTCAGAACCCAGAGGCACGATTCAGTCAGCCCCCCGTGATGACTTAGCCATCGGCAGTGATTCAGCCCGAGATGACTCAGCCCTCTCTGACGCAAAACCGCTTCAGTACGCATTTTTTTGTTCTCTTTAATGGTGTGCTAAATTGAGTCAGCCCCTCTCCAGGAGTTACTGTGTACTGCAGAGTTAAAAGTCATGCTTTATAATACAGATCCTGGGCAGGCATTTATACATCTTATTCAGCTTAGATTTTAGTATGGTTTATTTCTCTGGCAGGATTCGATTGCTGGAGTCCACATCTCTACTAAATATGTCGGATATTGATTCTGCCATAATGGCTGTTTTAGCCACTTTTTCATGAGTGTGACAGGGTGCCAGGCAGAAGCTGCTTGAGGCAGGACAGGTTCCTTTTGGCTCACCCGGTGAGGCCTCAGTCCATCGTGGTGGGGAAGGCACGGTGGCAGGAACCTGAGGCAGCTGGTCTTCTTATATCCTCGGTCAGGAAACAGAGAAACGATGCCAGGGCCCACTTCACTTCCTTCTTTCCATTCAGTTTAAGACCCCAGCCCATGGATGGCGCCACCCACCTTTAGGGTTGTCTGCCCACCTCAGTTAACCAGATCTAGACACGCTCTACAGACATGCCCGGAGATTTGCTTCTAGGTCAGGTTGAGCTGACAATATTAACTTTTACAATGGTTTACACTAGGTATGGTTCTCCCTGCAACTGGAGTGAGAGGCCGTTGTGAGCCCCCTGGTGTATGTGCTGGGAATTGCACTTAGGTGCTCTGATAACGCGGTACCTGCCCTGAGCCGCCTCACCAGCCCCACCTAACGGCAGTTTTTATAAACCAGTAGATTGGTGGGGTTCTGAACAACGGTGTCTAGGAGCAGAGTCGTGGCTTGGTTGTGTCTCTCTAGGCTTTTTGGTGCTGCAGAAGGTGATTCTAGCAATGGTTTCGGTTGAGATGGACATTCCGGCCCTGTGCAGTTTTGTGCTTCCGCCCTGGGAGCTCAGGGCTGGGAAAAGGATTACAGAGAAGTTCTGCTTTCCCAAGAAGTGCATTTCTTCCTCTAGAAGGGGTCCTGTACCTGGCCCTAAGAAGCATGTCCTCCACCAGTGCTGCAGCTTTCTGCCGCAGGAAGGCTCAAGCCTGGCTTTGACGGTGACTCAGCAAAGCGAACTGCTGCATTCAGCATAAAAGAAGGGGGAAATGTTAAAAGTCGCATGGAGGCTGTAGTTCTAACCCGAGGGAAAATTGTCTTTTAATTGGCATAGGTCCCCCCTCTTAAGTCACTCAGTACCTTTTGTTTGTCTTTCAAATCGACCTGAAAAGATAAAGGTAATTAATGGACTCAAAAGGGCAAAGAACAGCCTGGTGAGTAAGCTTGTAGTCAGTGGGCCAAGAGAATGGGCAGGAAGTAAGCTCTAGAAAGGGTGTGTGTGTGTGTGTGTGTGTGTGTGTGTGTGTGTGTGTGTTGTAGAACCCAGAGCAGCATGGTACACACATGCCAAGACAGGCTTTATAGAGACCAACAGGAAACTGAATCTCAGTTTACCCTAAGGCAATACCTGATTTCAAGAAAGACCACAAACTGAGACCACCCACGCACCACCTAGGAACAGAGTATCTGAAGGAAATGCCTAACGTCCCAACTATTATAGGTAGAATCACTTGATGTTGCCCTGCACACACCCAATGCCCTCTTCACCAGGGCACCCCTAGACAAATATTCAACCAATCAGGGATCTGCTATTATAAACCCCCACCCCAACAGTGCTGGGGCTCTCCAGTCATGCCAATACTTGGACACAGGGAGAGTCTGAATTCGAACTTGAGTAGGAATAAAGGCTCTTTGCTTTTACATATGGGACTCAGTCTCTTAGTTGGTTTTGGGAGAACTCTGCGGATCTGGGCATAGTGTGTGTGTGTGTGCATGTGTGCACATGTGCTTACATGTTATTGTACATATATGGAGATCAAAGGACAACTTTGGGGTGTTTCTCCCACTTTGTTGGGGACAAGATCTCTCTCCTACCACGCTTGCGGTTAGCTGGCCTTCGAGCTTCCAGGGTTATCTATTGTGCCTCCCATCTTATCGTAGTAATACACTGCATACCACCTCAGGCATTTGTTCTAGGTGTGGAGCTCAGCTCTTACTTTTAAGGCCTGGTGTGGTATGCACCTATAATCCCAGCACTTGAGGTGAAAGCTGAAGGACCCAGGAGTCCAAGGCTGTGTTGTAAGTGTGGCATCAGCCTGGAGTTTGTGAGACCCTGTCTCCAAAGCAAAGGACAGAGACCTGTAAAAAAAAAAAAAGATCACTTGGATTCAGTGTGATGCACTGTTTGGTGTTTGCAGTATCTTAATTTGAGCATTAATAGCATACAGGTGGCTAGGAATCATGGTTCAGAGGAACTTGTGACTTTCTGAGTTCATCCCCACCGGGATTCTGGGTTAGTAGGCCTCTTTGGAAGAGGACTAGCCACGTGGCTAACCCGCTGGACACTGCAAAGCTGGTGGCAGGCCTCGTGTCTTTTAGTAGCTGTTTGTTACAAGAATACACAGTGATTTTACCTCAGCAGTCTGAGTTTTCAGTGGAGAAACTTGGAGAAGCTCCGGCTCCTGTACTACTCAGTGCTCGTGTCTCTGAGTAGCTGGCTATTCGCCCTGTGACCCATTATGGAATAAAAACCACCCTCAAGCAGCGGTGTTGGGTGAACCCCAGCACGTGTGGCCTCCCAGCTGTGTGGATTAGAAGTCTGAGGTCAGGGTGTTAGTGGGTCGCTTCCTTGATGGAAGGTTTCTCTCCCTGCCTTCCCTGGTTGCCTTTGCCCACGACATTTTCCCTATGTGCATGCATCTGTGTCCCTGTGGTCTTGTTTTATGGGGATGTGAGTCATTGACATTGTTGAGGGGCCAGTTTGCTCAAGGACAGCCTCATCACAAATTCGATCTGTAATAATTCCTTCTCCAAGAAAGATGACATGCTGAGGGTCAGGAGCTAGGACCTAATGTAATGATCTGTCCTGTCCCTTTAAGAGACAAGCCATGCCCACTCCCTCCCCTGAAGCTGATCTTCAGTTTCCAGCCTGAGTCCCTTCTCTTTTCTGTCCCCCCCACCCCACCTTGCTCCATTCTCCCCACTTCTCCCCTTCACCCTGCCCCTGCTCTCTCTCTGTCTTTCTCTCTTTCTGTTTCTCTCAGCTCTTTCCCCTTTTTCCCTTCCCTCCTCTCCCCTTCCCTCCTATAACCCACTAAATAAATGTCCAACCTCACTCTGCATGGCGTGCCTATCCATCTGTCTATCACCCACTGTGTGTGGCTCCCTGCCCGGGACCAGCCACCGTCAGAGACCTGCAGCATGGTCTCGTAGTGTATCCATCTGTCTGTCTGTCCTCATGGGACTGGCTGCCCTATCGAAGTCTCCCACTCACCACGAGGCTCTTTGCAAAGAACTTGTGGCCTGCTGCAAGCCACTCAGGGAACTGTGTTATTTCTGCCTGGGACTGTGCTCTCAGGACCCACTGCCCACTGCTGCTGCTCAGGGACCTGCAGTGTTTCTGTCGCTGCAGCCACTCGGGGATCTGCAGCATTTTTTACTTAATCTATCACACCTAAGCTATCCTTTAGCCATTACAGTTCAAGCCTTGGGTTTCAGGCTGCACAGATTTCCATCAGAGGTGACACTAGGCAGAGGCCTTAGCTTTCCTCCAGCTATTTGGGAACCAATGCCTTTCAGCAGTGGCTGCTTAGATGCTAAACTTCTTTCCCGTGCCCAGGCCACAGCTGTGCAGCTGGTACAATAGCCTGTACACTTGACCCTAATCCAGACCTGCTGCATGGGCATCTCTGAGGTCAGAAGCTTGGAGTCTGATTTGCAGGTTCCTTGAGAGCCTGATACGGCTGATCCTGCTTTCCCGTTGGACTTGCTTTGGGGAGGCATGGGGTTGTATTCATCTTCATCTACTGGTCTTCCAAGCACTGCAGTTCTAATACTCTTGCGTTAGCTGGCCGCCCGGGCCACCCTTGGAAACCAAATGTACCTTGAAGAGCAAAAGTCAAAGACAATGCTGGGCATATTGCATTCCCCCTGTGTGAAGTAGGAGGAGGATTTGGGTAGTGATTGTGTGGTTTCACCCCTTTACGTATCTCCCTGTTAGCAGTGATCTCTAGCAGCCCGTTTGTGGGTATTGTCAAATGTTTAGTGCTGTTAAGGTGATTAGTGCAGCCGTTGCGATGTTTATTAAGCATCCGTAGACTCCCGTGGCTGCTGATTCCAGTAATACACTCTGATAATCCAGCCTGGGAGTTGACTGGCACTTGCCGTCAATTTTTGTATGGCCTGTGGCCTACAGATATTTTTAAATGGCTGAAGATTTTATACCACATGAAAGCACAGTAAGTTCGAATTTTAGTGTCCATAAATAAATTTTGGTTAGAACACAGCCAAGTTCATTGCATTTCATACCGCGCATGGCCACTTTTGTCTGATAATGGTGGGTCTGTGTAGCTGTGGGCAGGCCTTCACAGCTCCTTCTGGGCATCTGTAACATCAGATGCCCAGCCCTGCTCTGAGCTCCACTGTTTTATTTAATGTTTTGTGATATGGTGAAGTTCCTAACCGTCCAAGGACCCAGATCCCAGGTTCTGTGTGTGTAGCCTTGAGTCTGTCGGTTAGTGTCTGTTGAGCGCCCCCTCCTTGTCTCGCACCCAGCTCCCTCCGACCTGCAGAATTCCTTGGCTATAGCAGAGGAACGAACGCTTGAAGTGAGCGCAGTATGGAATCCTCCGTCGTCAGTTGGCTTGAGTGTCTTTGTTTGCTGTCTCTCATGTCTGTACCCCGGGTTGAGAGCTGCCGTCCAGAGCACATATGGGGTTCCAGGTGATGTCTTCCTCTTCCTGTCAGCATCTGCTGTCTACTCTGATTTAGGATGGAACTGAAAAGAGGTGAAGGAACAGGAACCCTCAACAGAATCACAGCTGAGACCATTGACACAGGGAGAGGTCTTCCTCCTCAGGAAGGGCCTGGAGACGGTTGGTTGTCCCAGAGTCCTCTGGTCCTAACACGGCTTAGCTATCCTGTATGTTACTTACCTTTCTGTTTCTGCACCATGACTGAGGCAACTGTAGAAGGGTTTATCTGGGCTTATGGTTCCGGAGGATGAGCCTCCAAGATAGCAGGGCAGAAGAAGCAGGTGGCAGGCTTGGTGGCTGGAGGGGCAAGCTGAGGGCTCAGGTTTTGAACCACACGCAGGAGCAGAGAGCTCACTGGGAGTTGTGTGATGCTTTGACACCTCAAAGCCTGTTTTCCAGTGCCATACTTCCCCCAATGAGGCCGTGTCTCTGAAATAGCCCCAACAGCGCCACCAACTGGAGACCAAGTCCTCGGGGACATTCCTCACTCAAACCTTCACATTTATTGATATGAGTTGTCCTTGGCCTATTATCCCCACACTTGGGAGGTAGAGCCAGGAAGATCAGGGCTTCAACACCAATGTTGGCCCCATAAGTGAGTTCGAAGCCAGCCAGAGACACTATCTCAGAGCAACAAGAAAATGACAGCAAAGATGAGTTGTTCCAGAGCCACGGTGTTGTGGTGTTGTTAGCTAGTTTTCAGACATGGGTAAAAAGACAGAAGATGCATTTTTAAGAAGACTCAGAAGACTCAGGAGAAGACTCAGGGGAGTCATCTGAGCCTGCGGCGGAGCCCCTGAGTGCATCTCATCTCTGCCAAGGTGTGTGTGTTCTTTTGAGTAGGTCTGGGAAAGAAATACTGTGGGGAACTTACTTATTCCCTGATTCTAGAAAGCTCCATCTTAGAGTAGGGCACACTGACCATGGGCTTTGAAGACTCACTACCTTGATGGACATAGTACTCTCAGAAGAGAGGGCTGACTTTTCTCTGGCTATATGGTTAGACAGTGAGGTACAGTTGTTCAGAAAAACTGTCTCTGGGGTACGGAGTAGCTTTGGAAGTTTGTTTTTCTACTGTTTTTAATTTGAGCAGTAGAGAACAAGAACAGGAGTAAGACTAAAGCTAGGTCCTTCTAAAGAGAAATAGAATCTTTCTTATGCCAGCTGCCCAACACCCCTAAACCTAGCACACATTGATGTCTCTAGCCAGCCCCAGGGACCATGTTTCTGCTTGGTTTTTGAGTCCTTGGAAGCCGTTGAACCCTTTCCTTTAGAGTCTAATTCAGCAACAAAAAGGCCACGCCGTCAGAGTGAAGGAAGTGAGATTTAAAATTTAGTGCGCTTGGAAAAGTACGTATTCATAATGCGCTTGAGGGCTCAGAGGATTTGTGAAGTCGGTTGGGATTAACAGCCATTGATTGCTAATAAAACAATATTTAGCTTTGTTAAGAGAACAGCCCTGGAGAAAGGTGTGGGCACCTTGTCACCAGGGCCCATTGAAAGGGGATGATGGGCTAAGGACGGGGGTCTGCACGTTGGCGTGGGTGCTGGTCCTTCAAGAAGCTGTTGTCAATTGCTCGCCGGGCTGGTGAAAGGAAGGACGCTGGAGCCGATGGCTGGGGTGGTATTGATGTGTCTCCGCTGGCTAATCAGATTGAAAGAGTCCCATGACATTTATGCCACTTCAATTTCCACTGCACAATTGGGGGCGACAGCACTCTATTAAGGAGCGGTTGATCCAGAACTAAAGCCAAATAAATTAGGGTCTCAGTTTAATCAAATTACCCCTCTCCTGGCCCTGGATTAAGTGAGAGATAGCGTCGGTCTGGAGGCCTGTGATTGGCTGAGCCTCTCTTGTTTTTAAAGAAACTGCTGGAAAAAAAAAAGGCATCGGAACACAGACAGCTATCATAATCTAAGCATTGTGCTAACCCAAGGAAAAATTTATGTTGCTAGTCAACTATGCATTGTGAAGAATAAACCAGTTATTAAAGTTGTTTTTATTTAGAGTAAGGGAAAGAAGTAAATATGTGTGATCCACTGAGGATTTTTCTCTGGAGTTTGGGTTTTTCCTGTCTACTCTCAGCCTATCTAAAATCTCCATTTAGAGAAATCAAGGAAATCAACTTTCTCTCTCTCTCTCTCTCTCTCTCTCTCTCTCTCTCTCTCTTTCTCTATCTATATATATATATATATCTTTCCCTCTCAAAAGTGTGGCAATTTGGTTTACTTTACATTTATTTATTTTTTTCATTTATTTATTGTATTTTGGAGACACGGTCTTGCTATGTAGCCCTGGCTAGTAGAACCTGTTACACCAACCAGGCCGGCCTCAAACTTGCCACAACTCTCACCGCTGCTCCCCAAGTGCTGTGACTGCTGCAGTCACGCCCCACCTCCCCCGGCTGTTTCCACGCTAACGTTAAGAAGCAGAAACACGGATTTGAGTCGGCATATAGGTGGGGCTGGCAAGTGAGTTGTTCGGTCTGAGTGTCAAAGTACAAAACACCAGAGAAGATAGCGATAAATCCTGGGCAAAGAGATGCGTTCTGGGGCTGGTGAGATGGCTCAGTGGCTTACTGCTTTTGCAGAGGATCCGGGTCCAGTTCACTTGGAGGTGAAACCATGCGTCCTTCAGTTAGGTCCCCTTATTATGTAGTTCTCTTTGTTTGTTTTATCCTATCTGGGTTTACCTATTTATTCAGATATTTTTGGAGCTCTGACCCTGTGATGTCGAGTAAGAATGAAGATTCAGCACGGTCCTCACTGGGCTAAACCTTGGGTGGTTAGAGGAGTGAGTCACTCGTAGCAGTCTTCTCCCAACATTTAAAAATTGTGAAATTGTGTGTGTGTGTGTGTGTGTGTGTGTGTGTGTGTGTGTGTGTATGGTAGTGAGTAAGCCAAGCACACTTATGGAGGCCAGAGGACAATTCTGTGGGGTGGGTGCTTTTCTTCCACTGTGTATGGGTTTGGGAATTAAACACATATTCAGGGTGACAAGTGTCTTTACCCACTGAGCCATCTGGGTGGGCCCCTTTCCAACGTTTTTCAGTTACACACGTACCAGTTCTTTGAAAATGGAAAGGCATGCATCGCCATATAATATCCAAAGTATCCCGTAAGGGCTCCATGTAAACTGGACGCCATGCTGTCTGTCCTCACAGCGCCTGGGAGTTCCCGTGTGGCACCTTGAGAGCCCAGCCTGGTAGAGCTGACACAGAGAAAGACAAAAAGATTGGTAGATTTGTTTGCCGCCTGGGCTTCCTTGCCATCTCTGTGGTGTGGTGGGGTTCTTGCCTCGGCTGCCGAAGAAGCTGCTGCTTCCTTCTGGATGCTCACCCTTGGAGCCTGTCCCCCAGGTCTGCGTCTGGCTTTCGAGCATGGCTTAGATGTGTTCGATTTAGATCCCATTTGCCCCAGGCCTCCCAGGCTGCCACCCAACCCTGGGAATCATCTTTAGCGTGAGCGTGTGACATTAGGTAATAACTTGGGTCCTTTCCCCTTCAGGAAGGATTCGTCCGTGTTGACCGAGATTATGTGCTGAAGTCTGCAGAGCTGGCAAGAGCAGGCGGGTGCAAGCATTTCAACCTCCTGTCCTCCAAGGGGGCGGACAAGTCCAGCAGTTTCTTATACCTACGAGTAAAGGTTTGTGTGTGCTCTCCCTTCCATATTCATAGAGTAATTGACAACGCTAAGTAACCAGTATAATCTTTAAAAAAATAACAACAAAAAATACCCATTGTATTGTGTATTTTCCAAAGCTTCAGGGACTGTTTTGGGAGAAACGTACTTAGAAAGCAGACATGTTTTAAAAGATATCTTTCCCATGAATCACTCAGTAAAGTCGGTGGAGAAAGTAGAGGCAGCCCTGGTCTTGGATGGCATGGCCTCTCAGCCTTGGAGATGGTGTTCCCTCCATTTCCCTCTGGCCAGGATGCCAGAATTTTATGCCTCTTGCCAGTACAATGCATGGTTGCTGCTGGTTTTAACCAGAAGTTTCCATTTCCTCACAGTGAAGTAGAGGCGCTGCCGCAGGAGGGCGGAGCCGGTTCTGTGACCTGTGTCTCTGGACACGGGTTCTCCTTGGCATGAAATCTTTTTGCAGATGTGCACTTGCCTTTTGCTTAATATGCCAGGAGAAAGGGCTTTTGTCTGGTGAGGCTCCATTTGTCTGTAGTCATCACCTGGACATGGAGAAACGCCTGTCATTTATAGAGTCAGTTCCTCACTGGAGTCATAGTCATCACCGGGGATCCCCGTTGCCTTAACTCTTTTTGTCCGGCACAATGCCCTGAAGTCCTGGCTCCATCTTTTTTAATTGGTTCCTAGGCCTACCCCCTTTATCACCTGGCTCTATTTAATGAGTGGACCTTGATAAACATTTCACATGATAGCTTCCCTGGCCTCTGACTACTCGCCTGGTGCGAAAATTCATGACTTCATAATTGAAGGCATCTCTGTTTGTCACTTCATTGTTTTCTTGAGATCTGGGTGGGAGTTGCTAACGCTTAGAAGTGATTGACACAGAGGGTCATCTAGGATCCACTGGGTGGAGGCTCGCCTCCTGATCACTGTATTTTTCTCATCTATTACAATTGCTTGTATACTGAAGACTGTGGGGCGTATGGCTGTGAGGAGGGGTTTGGACTGATGCTTCATTTACCCTCTTCTGGTCTGTTTAGACATTAATGAATGAAGGGAGTGCCCCTGGAGCATTGCCAACCTATCAGGGGTTACACCCTTAAAGAAAACTAGCCAACCCCACCCACCTCCATGCTCGAATGCTGGCTGAAGCTGCAGGCCGATTGGTAAAGAAAAGTCCCCAGACTATCTTGATACAAAATATACAGCTTTAATAAACAGAAGTAAGACTTACAACTGCTTACACCAGAATCCAACCCATCCGTCCGGAAGCAGGAGCCAGGCGAAAAGAGAGCTAGCGGAGCGCGCTTGCTAGGTTTATAGGCAGGCTTTTGCCTGAGGGCAGCACGCCCCGCAAACAGAATATGATTGGCTGAACTCCCTATCAGCTGGCAAGCTTGATAGTGTGCAAGCAGCCACAGCTGCTTGAGTTCATGAGCGTGGCAGGCCTGTGCGGTCCAGAAGACACAGTTTTGTTCAGGTCCACTCTAACTTCTGGTTCTTACGCTCCTCCAGCTCCTCCTCCTCTGCAGTGGTCACTGAGCCGCACGGTCACTGAGCCGCAGGGTCTGGGGGTGATGCTGCATTTTGACCCTTCGCGGATGATTCTCAGTGTGCCAGGGTTAAATGGCCTCTTCCTTCTGTCCAGACTCTAGACTCAGGCTGCCCATTAGGATTAACGTGAATCTTGGGAGCTGCAGAAGCTAGTTTATCTTCAGGCCCGAGTGAGCCCCTCTCAGGTTTTATCTGAGTCTTGGCCAAACATAGATTTTTTTAAATTTTTTTTTAATTTTTTTTTTATTTTTTAAATGTTAACAGGGAGAAGTGGAAGCCAAGGTCGAAGAATTAAAGTTTGATCGCTACTCAGTCTTCCGGCCGGGGTAAGTTTCTCCTGCCAGGAGTAATTGGAGAGGCTGACAACTAAGCCATCTGGGAACGAGGCTGGCTTAGAATGAGCCGCTTCTCCAAAGGACCCACTTTCATCTCGGGGGGGGGGGGAAAGAAAGAGTAGCTTGGGGCTGCCTCAGAATCATGGGAACTTTCTCAAAGTAGTTGCTGCCTGCATTTTTTTCCTTAAAATTTTAAGTTTTATTCACTTAGTGCCCCTTTGCTTTTGTACCCCGCTTCCCCTTTATTTAACAAATCAAACTTTGCAGCCACCACATGAGCCAACTGATTTTCTTGATGCCTGGAGGTTGGTGTCTGCCGGAGGTACCCCTCCTCCTCGTGGACTGTACCAGCTTCTCGATGTGGCTCCACACAGCCTCTCTCGTGCATGTCCTTCTCGCCAGAATGGCAGGCCTGTCCTACCCTCAACACCTCTGAACTCTAATTACCTCCATAAGGGCCATCTGCACATACAGTTGCCTTTGGGCTTAGGGCTTCTGCCGACAGGTGTGGGGGAACAGAACTCAATGTGAAGTATCCATAAAGTCTGAGCGCATGTGCCATCTCTTCCCCTGCCTTTCTCTCTGTCTCCTAGAGTCCTGCTGTGTGACAGGCAAGAGTCTCGTCCAGGCGAATGGATGATTAGGAAGTTCTTCGGCTCTCTGCCGGAATCCTGGGCCAGTGGGCACTCTGTGCCTGTTGTGACCGTGGTTAGGGCGATGCTGAACAACCTGGTGAGTCCCAGCAGTGGACCAATGGAACTTCTGGAAAACAAGGCCATCCTCCACCTGGGGAAAGACAGGGATGTGCCCAAGCTGTGACCGTACAGGAGGACGGCTTGTTCTCAAACTTCAGTGCCTGTCACCGACTCAGTCATGGTGGGGTCTATCAAACGTCTCTCTGTAGTCCTTTGTGGTGTCCCTGCAGCTCCATTAGGAAACCCCAGTGCTCTGCTCCAGCTGTTGATGTTGTACCCATTGTCCATGTAAGTCACCCAGGGAGCTATGGGAGGACAGGTGTGTATCATAGACCTTTTGGAGTCTGTGGGTTGAGGACAGGGATCTGTGGTTTTGACTTCCATGTCCTCTGGCTGGGAGACCAGTTTTAAAGCTCTCCGAGAGAGATGCCGGAGCACTGAGCAGCGGGGCCCTAGCCCTCCAGGCAGGCGAGTGCTGGCAAAGCCTGTTGACAGTCTAGTCTCGGAGCTGCTTGGTGCTGCTAGGCTGCACGGAGCTGAGTGAACCCTGCGCCTTCACTATGTGTCAGCACGGGAGATATAAAACAAGCTTCTGTGATTCATTGAGGAATAAAAATAAATGGCCAAACCCTGAGTGCTGGTTCAGTTGCTGAAAGCTGTGGAGGTCCAAGTGGGAAGGTACAGCAAAGGCCCCCAGGGATGGCACCCCAGTCCCTAACATGGCAGGGGCTGCAGAATCTTAGGCAGTCTCTTCTTGGCACTCTAACCCTGCAGCAATCGTATAAAGTCATACTGCTGCCCTCATACCTTTATTTTTTTCTCCATTTAAATTTCTATTCTCACCCTCTCATTGCAAATGGGGAATCGAGGCACACATGGTTAAAGACCATGCTCAAGGTCTAAAGCTGAAAAGCTAAGCTAGGATATGGCGGGGTCGAGATTAACTATACTTAGCCCTAGCTTGTATTTATTTTTTATTTGTGTGTCTGCCACATGTGTGTGTTTCCTCAGAGGCCAGAAGATGGCAACAGCTTCCCTGGACCTGGAGTTACAGATCCACCGTATGTGGGTACTAGGAACTGAACTCAGGTCCTCTGGAAGAGCAGCAAGTGCTCCTAACCCCTGAGCCATCTGTCCCGCCCCCTGAAGCTGGTTTCTTTAACCACTCTGTAAGAATACCCCATGTCCATCTATTTCGAGAGGGTTCCACGTAATTTAGTACATTGTGGATGCATAAAATTTAAATCCTTGGGTTTCTCCACTGATCCAGGATGCTGATAATCAACTGCAAACAGTGGTTAATCTAAAATCCTCCGGCCCTAAGCTCAAAGACTCAGGGTGGTGGTGAGTTTTTCTATTGCTTTGTTTTGTGACAGGGTCTTGGGTAGCCCAGGCTGGCCTCAAAGTCAATGAATAGTCCAGGATGACCTTGAACTTCTGATACTTCAGCCTCCACCTCCCACGTGTTGGGGTTACAGGTGCGCCCCGTCATGCCTAGTTTCTGTCGTGTTGGACTGGCTACAAGGCTTCATGCGTGCTAGGTAAACAGTCTACCAACTGGCCTATGTTCCCAGCCTGAGCTGATACACTTTAAACAGGCAAGGAAGGAAAACAGGAAGGGAAGGGTCTGTGCCTAGAGAAGCACCCAGTGCCAGTTCCATCATGGAGCAGGTGCAACTTAACTTTTGTGCTGGGGAACCGCGTCACTTGTCTCCAGCGACGGAGTCTAGTGTCCCAGTTATACCTCTAGTTCTGGTGGGCACTGCTCAGTGAATACCATCCCGACAGTATGGGTGTACATCCTGGGAAGACAGTGGACATTGTCAACGTTAAATCTTCCAGAGCAGACTGAGATCTTGGAATGTGTGCTATAGGAAGGCAGTGCTGGATGCATGCCTGTGATCCTAGCACCAGGGAGGCTGAGGCAGGAGGACCACGGTTCAAGGTCAACCTGAACTACATAGTAAAACCCTGTCTCAAAATGAGAAGCTTACTTCCTGCCAGTGGGGTTCGCTGTGACTGGGCTTGGAAGAGCCTGAACGTGTCTCCATCATAACAGTCTCGGGCCCCGAGAAGTGAAGCAGCCTTTGGGGGTACCCATAAGAATACCCTGAGCCTTGCAGGCTCTGAAGGCAAACAGACTCCGTGGCCAATCACTCTCTACCATTTCTGCACATCAAATATTAAGGTGCAAGTGAGTCCACACTCAAACCTGAGTAACAGTAGAGTAATGTTAGAAGGATCTGCGTTCATGTTTGGAAGAGAAAATTCGGCCAAGCCCAAGCCCTGTGCCATGGTCAGTTGTCAGCTTCCCAGAAATCTGGCCCAGTCACCTCCAGACTGGCATTACTGTCACCTGTCAATATCTGGGCATCGCTGTGGTTCAGCAGGTTTCTTCAACGGAGAAAAATGGGCCTTGCTGGAGAGAGAGGTTTATGCGAGGAAAGTTGGATGGGCATCCATTCATTAATTTATTCAGCAAGTGTATATCAAGTTGGTGATAAATTTGTGAGCAGTCTACTAGCAAGGGGGGCCAGCAGACTTCTGGCAATGTCCTAGAATGTCAGTGTACATGAGAAGCTAACATTGGGTGGGCTCCGTCCTCTTCTGTGAGCCACTGTGGATTACGGTCTGTGGGAAAGAAGGGGAGGGAGAAGAGGAGGGAGGGGAGATGGAGAAATCAATAGATGGGGTAGCAGTGAGAAAGACGCAGGCTATGCCTGGAATAACCATATGTCTTTAGAGAAGGCGTAAGACCCTCAGCACCAGGGAGGGCTGCAGAGAAGCGTGTCTTCTGGCCATGATAGGACCTCTGCGCCAAACCCAGCAGCTGTGGTTGTCTGTTCAAGACCAAGCCAGTCAGCATTCTGATGTGGAGGGGGTGGGGATTCATGAGCCCCCCCCCCAACTGAGGAGGTATGGGAGAGGGAGATGGAGTTTTCTTTAAGGATGTGGCCTCTGGTAGGTTGACCACACTCCAGCGGATGTCCCCACACCCAGAGTATATGGACCCTAGAAACTGGAACCCATGTTATTTTTTTTAAATGATACAAAGGTGAAGGGTAGGAAGGGGGGGGGAGGGAGGAATATGAACAAAATGCATTGTATGAAATTCTCAATAAAAACATTAAAAAAAATAAACGGTGGCTATGTGAGCAAAGTCCTGGTGGTGGAGTGGAAAAGGCAGAACCGCCCACTGGAGCGCTTCAGAGATCAGTAGTACACAGGCTTGAGGGTGTGCATGGCGGGCGGTTGAGCCGAGCTGATGGCAAGCATTATGCAGGCCTGGCTGGCTATGTCCTCAAACATGCCCGGTACATATTCCAGCCTTTGACTACAGCTTGTAGGAATTAACCTACCCAGAATTACTGCTGCCCACCTGTCCGAGGGAATTCCATGGTTAGATATTAGGAATATTAGAAAGGAGGCAGCCTGACAAGTGGAAATCGCCCCATTGCCAGGCAGACAGCATCGTTGGCTGGCACATACCACACAGTCCACTTGTTTCCATGGTGTGGGATCAAGTTAATGCCTAGATTTTTCACACACGTGAACTCATGTAACCCTTACTATAATCCTCAGGCTACTGCAGTCATGATCATGTTTTACCAGTCAGGAAACTGAGGCCGGGAAAAGGCAGAGGTCTAACGATCTTAGAATTCTAGCTACTGAAATAGGGTTCAAAGGGTGCGTGTACCCATGTTCTCACTTTCCCATTTTAACACCCCTAGTAGGCGGCGCGGGGCGGGGAGGAGTTGGCTCCATTTGATACCAACAGTGCACACCCAGCTTTCAGGCAGAAAGGTTTTTCCCTGAGCTTTTCTTCTGCCTAGGGCTCTGGAGTTCCGAGCCTAGCCTGCACTGGCTATCTATGCCGCCAGATGGCGCTGCAGCAGGTCGCGCTCAACCTGGCCTTTGCGCACGCGTCTACCCTGCAGCGGACCGGAGTGGCGCCCATCCTCTCGTCCCACCCGGTAGCCCCACGTGACCCGGAAGCGCTCTCGGGCCGGCGCACGGCCGGCGTCTGGGTTGCTTGGTGGCTACCGCGCGTCCGCGCTCGCTCTTGGTTCCGGTGCCGCGCAGTGCGGCCGCGCGCCTGGTCGGCGGCCATGTGTTCGCTGGCGGCGGGGAACGGTGGGTCTCTA